GGGTCCTGGTTATTCGTGGGGGCGAGGAGGACTGCAACCTGCTATTCTTCAGAAGATATGGTACACTGCTTGAGTTATGGTCTCCCTGCTATTCTTCAGATGATATGGTACATTGCTTTGAGTCTATCTGCAGTTGCCAAGCAGGATCTTGCAGTTGCCCAGCTTCAGGGGATCTTGTGCAGGTGGGAAAAGGTAGGGGGTGAGGGTAAGGGCGAGGCTCCTGGCTTCTGGTCCATCTGGGTTAGAACTTCTAATAGCAGGCATCACGGGTGATTCAATTTTACCTGGGATGCTGCGTGAGTTCAAGCTCCTGGGAGTCCCTGTTTTTCTTGGTTTTCTGCGGTTGGGTACGATCTTTTCTTTTTTAAACATTTATTTTTAGTTTGTAAATTGTTGGTACATGTGTCTGCCTGTATGAGGGTATATGCACGTGTGTACAGACACAGATACTGGCAGGCATTGGATCGTCATGGAACTGACGTTGCATGCAGTCGTCATCTGCCTGGTGTGGGTGCTGGGACCACACTGGAGTCTTTTGTAAGAGAAGTGTATGTTCTTACTGTTGAGCCATTTCTCCATCCCTGACATCTATTTTTATAAATTTACATCATATATTTCCCTCTCAGCATTCATTTTACTACACCACAGAGCTTAAAAGGTTCAGTCATGGCGGGCAGTGGCAGCACACATCTTTAATCCCAGCACTTGGGAAGCAGAAGAAGACTGACCTCTGAGTTCTGAATTTGATGCCAGCCTGGTCTACAGAATGAGTTCTAAGACAGCTAAATCTTGAAAAACAAAACAAAACAAATAAAAAGAAAAGAAAAAAATCTAGTCATTAAATAAGAACAGTGTCTTCCTTATTGTTCTATTGCTGTGAAGAGATACCATGATCAAGGCAGCTCTTTTAAAATAAAGCATTTAATTAGAGGCCTGTTTACAGTTTTAGAGGGTCTGTTCATGATCATCATGGCAGGAAGCAGACAGGCATGGGGCTGGAGCAGTAGCTGAGAGCTTTATATCCTGACCCACAAGCAGAGAGCAAGAGAGAGCGAGAGAGACAGATAGACAGACAGATAGACAGACAGATACTGTGGGCCTGGAATGGGCTTATGAAACCTTAAACCCCACCCTCAATGACACAGCTCCTTCAACAAGGTCACATCCCCTAATCCTTTCTAAACAGTTCCACTAACTGGTGACCAAGCATTCAAACATATAGGCCTCTGGCCGGGGCCACTCTTACCCAAACTACCACAGATGGGTATGCTTTATGGCTCAAGTTTTCAATAGTAAGTAAAGAGACATTATTATTCAGGAAGGGGCCTGATGGTATGGTAATCAATGTGTGGCCCTATTCACTACGACTAGGCATTGTGCTTTACATTAAGACCACCATGATCTTGGCATTTATTTATTTATTTATTTACCCATTCACTCAAAATTGAATCAGGGGGTTCATGAGTTCTAGGCTATCCTGGCTACATAGTGAGATATTTATTCACAAGCAAACAAATAAAGCACGGCATGTGACTGCGTGCGACTTCGTGTGACTGCCTGCATGCGACTTCGTGTGACTGCGTGTGACTTTGTGTAACTGCGTGCTCAACACACTGGTGAATCTTATATAGAACTTGACTCAATTACAGAGTAGAAACCCTCAAAACCTTTTAATACTTTACATGGAAACATATTTTAGTTTTTTTTTAAAGCCTTTAATCCCAGCACTTGGGAGGCAGAGGCAGGTAGATTTCTGAGTTTGAGGCCAGCCTGGTCTACAGAGTGTGTTCCAGGACAGCAAGGACTACACAGAGAAACCCTAACTAGAAAAACATAAAAAAAAAAAAACACACACATCCAGAGAAATTACTTGTACTTACTATTTAGTCTAGGTTTGGATAGTATATTTTTGATATTTATCAAAATGCCAGTATATAAAAAGATGTTCCATTCCTCTTCTGGTAGAAATCCTATGTCATCTGTCATCAGAGCGTCACTGGAATTATCTCTCATGATGGTGGTGCAAAGTCGGAAGGAAAAGCAGAGTTTATGCTCATTAAATAGAGCTGAAGAGACCACCTACAGAAACCACAAGTGTCACATGGGCCTGAGAGGCAATGCTGGAAAAACCCACTGTGACCAGGGAGCTTACCTTAAACACGTTTCTTGTCAGCGTATCTATTGCATTTTTGATGTTCTCGGCTAAGGGATTTCTTTCACTCTCCAGATTCTCTTGGTCTGAGAGACTTAGGGAAACCTCATCAGCTTTTTCCTGAGAAGTTTCATCCGTTTTCCAATCATGCTTTTCTTCTTTGATTTTGGAAACTGTAGAGAAAACAAAAATCTGCCGGAGCCACTCCAGGGAGAACTGGTACATATACTCCACCTGTGTGAGGCTGGCCACCACGAAGTAAAGCAGGGCGCCCCTTGTGGCGATGGGGAGGTAGTTCTTGCGGGTTGCTTGAATTTCGCTTTCTGCTTTTTCTGTTTCTTTGATACGTTTGGAAATCTCATTTGAAGTTATTTTGGATTTTCTCAGGGTTTCTACAATCTCTTCATCATCTAACACACTTCCTAAAAATGAACAAAACATGAAGGTTAGGAGAGAAAGAGGAGCTCAGTAAAAGTAAAGACAGAGCCAAGCGTGGGCATGGACTTCAGGGAAGAGTTTCTCTGTTGGTTTTGAAATAAGTATGTCATGTTTATAAGAAGTAGGACTGGTGGTATGCAGGTCCCATTCCCATCTTCTTTTTTAAAACTCTCTTCTATTTTTATTACAGGAACATAGTAAGTAATAATTTCACCATAAACAATACACACACACACACACACACACACACACACACACACACACACATCCCACATGCACAGAGGCTGGGAATGTAGCTCAGTGATTAGAGAATTTACCTGCAAGTGCACGACCCTGGGGCTTGATCGCTAGCTTATCCCCCAATCCAGACCACAGCAAGCATATTGTTCTTTTTTTCTGTAATACACTCTGCTATTTTCTTTTTGACCAGTGAGGTCATTCCTCAATGTTATTCAGATTGCAGCTCTTGAACAAGCAGCACACTAGACAGAGAAATTCTTCCTACTTCATCATTTTGAGGGACCTCTCAGATTCATTACAAGCTTTCTTTTCTTTCTTTCTTTGCTCCTTCCTTCCTTCCTTCCTTCCTTCCTTCCTTCCTTCCTTCCTTCTTTGAGACTAGTCGTGCAATGTAGACTAGGCTGGTCTTGAACTCATGGAGACCTAAGTTGCCTCTGTCTCCCAAGTGTTGGGATTAAAGGCATGTGCCACCACACCTGGCTTTTTAGTTAGATTTTTAAGAACAGTTATGGGCATTAGAGAGATGGCTTGTGGATTCAGAGCATATACCGCTCCTTGCAGACTACCAACGCTCCGCTCTCAGCCCGCATGCCAGTACCCAGCACCAACATTGGCTGGCTCAGATCTCCCTCTGCCCCCTCTTCTGGACTTGGCAGGCACCTGTACACTTCCTTCAAACACACGTAATTACAAAATAAAACATTTAAAAAGTAATTGTTTTTTATTAAAAATCATTTTTAGTAAATGTTAGCAGCTAAAATTATCTCAATACTATAATAGAACAAAAGCCTGGCAGGACATAAATATAAAAATATAAAGATGCATGTGGGAAGCACTTCAAACCCTGGCAAGGTTTGTTTTTTTTTTTCTTTTATTGAAAATAGATTTTTTCATATAATATATCCTGGTTATGGTCTCCCCCTTTCTCCTCCCAGCTCCTCCCCACTTTCCTTCCCAACTGGGGACACCCTTTTCTGTCTCTCATTAGAACACAAACTGGCTTCTAAGGGACAATAATAAAATAAAATATAATATAATAAGATAAAATAAAAATAAATATGTCACAATAGGATAAAACAAAACAGAAAGAAAAGAGCCCCAGAGAAGGCACAGGACACAGAGAAAGACACAGAGATCCATTTATTTGCACAGTCAGGAATCCCATAGAAACACAAAACCAGAAGCCATAATATATTTGCCAAGGATCTGTAGAGTAAAAAATTAACAAATAAATAAAATGCCCTGACATGACAATATGAGACAAAAAAATTGCAGCCATACTCACGACTATTGATAAATTTTTGTTTTGATTTTTTTATTTTAAAGATTTGTTTATTTCTATTTTACACATATGAATGTTTTTCCTGTATTATGTCTGTGTCCCATGTGAAAACAGCACCCATTGAGATCACAAGAGGGTGTCAGACCCCTGGAAATTAGTTTACAGATGCTTGTGGGCTGCCAAGTGGGTGCTGGGAGCCAAATCCAGGTCCTCTAAAGAGCAGCCAGTGATCTTTACTGCCGAGCCATCTTTCCAGCTTCCTAGTTCTTATGCTATTTTGGTAAAGGATCTGGTAACACCAGGCTTTTACTCCAGGCCATGCTCTTTATGACTATCAGTAATTAATTAATTATGGTGAATATTAAAAGTAAATCCACATGGGAGGGTGATCTGAGGCTCCAAATCCAGCAGTCAGGAGGCTGAGGCAGAAGGAATGCCACCCAAGGCCAGGCTGAACTGTTGATATCCGTCTTTAAACAGCCAAGCAAAGTAACAGAAGGCAGAACCCGTCTATGACTTTCAAGGTCGGTCAAGTGCCTTACTGGACATTGGTATTAAGGAAACAAGAGAAACAAATACAATATGTTTATAGACACATTCTATATGTAACTGTGAGAACTATATTTGACAGACATACTGCGTCTCCTAATGAGACACAAATTAAAATGGTTCAGGGTCAGATAGACTGCTGTCCCGGTTGGCTTAGGTGCAGTTATATTAGTGTGAGCCAGGAAGTTAGCATGAATTTATTTTTTACTGCTATAAAAATATTTTTAGATATTCTTCCAGCAAAAGGAAAAGAATTTTGATTTCTTTGCTAATAAATACCATCTTTTAACATGATTGTTCTCTATGAAAGGTCTTTTAGGGTTGACACTAATCTTTTGGTGTCTGCAGCCAGCCTGAGGTGTGAAGTAGATGGGAAAGGCCTGGAGTGAGCCCAGCGCAGGAAGGAGTCAGTAGCCTCGATAAGACTTGCTTAAAATTTTAGGTGTAGTGTTTGGTGGTGAGATGTGAGCAGATAGGGTTAGGGTGGAAGCTGAACACCAACATTCACGCTGTGACTCTTAGAAACTGACAGGATTTACCCATACTGACTGCTTATCTGGTACTAATGGAAACTCGGCATTTTTGGTACCAATCAGAAAATAAACTCATGACTTTTTCTTGACTTTAAGTCTCTTGATTGTACTAAGTTTCCTTCCTCACCTTCTGTTTTCTGGAGTAAGGTCAATGTTTTATCCTCCAGCTCCTCTAGAGTTATAGCATCAAGAGAAATACTCTCCAATAACTGGGCATGTTGATTTTCTAAATGAGGAACTTCGTGACTTACTACTGTAGATAGAAGTTCATCTTGCAAGCCTTGGAATGTTACCGTGAAGTTGATAATAGTAACAAAGTTATAAACTGATGGAAAGAAATGGGGGTTTTCTAGTTCTGTAGATAAGTACAACCTAAAAATGAGAAAGATACTAGTTATTCAAAGAGCTTGCAGAAGAAAACAATGAAACCAAATGTTTAAATAATATAAACTGTATTTTCCTGGAAGTGAAAAGATCCATTTGTAGTGTTACTCATCTTTAAGCTCAGAGTAAGCTCTTGGTTTCTTATGTGAGCAAGTCTGTACTTAAGACTTTAAATACATAACTTATATCCTTACTAGATTTGATTTAATCTAAGGCAGGGGAAAGACAAACGGTCATAGGAGTTTTGATGCCACTAGATCATTGTAAAGAATAGCTTCTATGCTGGGGGCATAAGGCAGTAGTGGGATCTGGGTCAAGAGGTGTCGGCTCCTGGGACTTTCTGGACTCTGGCTGAAGAGCATCTGGGCAGATGGGAGGGGAGGGCAGAGGGTGGTGGTGGCTTAGAGAAGCTGTGAAGACTGAGATTCTAGGTCTAGGGGCATGTTCTATTTTTAAAGGTGAGGCTAAGGCTGGGGCATGGCCAGAGAGAGTGGAGTTCTGTTCCTAAGTCTTGTCTTTTAAATCAGCACCCTCTTTCCACCCTCTGGTAGACGTCCATCCTTAGTATCACTTGGCCATGTTTGCTATGACTCTCCTGCTTCTGCCCACAAAGAAGCAATGGTCTCACATGACCCAAAAGGCTTCTCTCCTGGGAACTCTGTTTCTGTGGCTGTTGAATGCCACCCCAACAGCTCTTCATGAAGTTGCTTGGAGTAGGGAGATGGCTTCCTGGTAGAGAAGCCTGACAGGCAGTTTAGGGACAAAGACCTCAAAAATGAGCAGAGCTGATTCTTGTCCTTGAACAGAGACCAAAAATAGCCCTGGTTCTAACCACACTTCAGTCCTGGCCAGAGACCAGAACATCAAATGGGTTTAGGGGCACTGGTTACTGTTCTGTCCTCTTGTTATCTTTCTGAAAGCTAGTGAGGCATATGAACCCCTTGTGGGTGGGAGGAGTGGGTGACCCAGATGATGACACAGCCTTGTGACCTGCTCTTGCTGCACAGGAGTTCTGTTTGCTTCTCTTATGTCTCATCTAGGAGCCTGGAATGCATTTCTTTCAAAAAATCACTCTTAGTGTTTCCCATGGAATTCAGAGTTTGAGTTCAAGAGCCAAAGGACCTCTAAGTCCCCAGCCCTGGTGGCTTTGGTGGTTGTTGTCTGTCTAGAAGCCCAGCACTCTAATTATTGTTCACCTGAAGTAAGGTCTCTGTTGCTACTAAGGATCTCCATTTTCCTACCACCTGAGGGAAAATCGTTCCTTGTTCCAAATATTAAATATGCGTTTATGTGTGTTTGCTTGCATGTGTTGTATAGGGGAGTGTGTGTCTATCTGTCTAAGCTAGAGGCTGACTTCAAGTAATTTTCCTCAAATGCTTTCCATCTTATTTTCCAAGGCAGGATCTCTTAGCAGGTGAGGATGGCTGCCCACTGGACTCTAGGAATTGTCTTGTCTCTGCCTTCCCAGTGCTGAGATTACAAGGATATGTCACCCTCTACACATGTGTGTTCTGAACCCAAATGCTCATGCGTTCATGGCAAATACTTTACTGACTGAGCCACTGTGTCAGCTCTGGATTTTTATTTCTTAAAGAGGCCAAAGCTTATCATGCCGTGTTATCTGTGTCGTTCATTGGGGGATCAAATTAGACCTTTTTGCTAAGTGGGTCAGGCTTTCTGGCCCTCTTGACTTCCTGCTCAGCTCAGGTCTGGGTTATAGTTCCCTTCAGGGACAGTCTGACAACACTGATGAAACCCACTCTCTTTCTGAATGTGTGTGGCAGCCACAACCCATAAAACCAAAAGGAATGTTCACAATACAATTACCCTTCTCCCTCAGGATCATGAGCACTGGGACTGAAGCACACGGCTTTCAATGTGACTTATCTTAAAAGAAGAAGAAGAAAGAAGAAGAAGAAGAAGAAGAAGAAGAAGAAGAAGAAGAAGAAGAAGAAGAAGAAGAAGAAGAGGAGGAATACACATATCTAGATTTGACTATGGGAGACATTACCTGAACTTTTCATTGTATTCAATCTCAGCATCATCGATTTTGATGTAATATTGTCCTCTTTTCTGGCAAATATCCTTCTTTAGCATTGCTCTCAAACTGGGAGGGAATGTTTCAGGGACATTCTGAAAAAAATCCAATAGAGATACACACACACACACACACACACACACACACAATCATTTTAAGTAAATTAGTTGAAAAGACACGTTGCTGATGTTGGCAGAGGAAGACAAATATAAGAGAACTAAACTATGTGCAGATGTGTGCACATATATAGTATATATACAATGTATAAAAGTACTGAACTATGTGCATATGTGCACATGTAGGTACATATGTTTCACATATACAGTGCATATGTATAAATGCAATTCTGTATACACTTATTTAACAAAGATCCTGGACACTTAAAACCTCTGGTCTTTGTACTCACTGTGTATAATAACATGACCTGCTACAGAAAGGAGGAGTCAGGCTATACGGTCCACATACCTGCAGGACAACAGAGTCTCCTGCTTGCATGGCAATTGCAATTCTTTTGGTGTAATTGCTATCTTGAGCAGAAATCACTTGCAGCTTGGGCCCTTCCATCTGGCGGATCCAGTAGAGTGCTTGCTTGTGCGGGTCTATCACTAGGGGCCACTGCTTTGTACTTTTCATCAAGATGGCATTTTCCGCTGAGTGCTGGCCAAGAGGAAGCCCTTGATTATGCCATCGGCGGATCTGAAATAGAAACACTAGTATTTTCACCATTTCAGAAGCTCTAGCCCAACCTTAAGTTCTGGTAAAGGGTCATGAAAGATGCGACACAATCAATCATTGCTTTTAGACAAACACTCCTTAAAAGGACCGAGGGAACAAACAATTTAAAGCATGTTGGATTTTTGTTGTGATGAGTAATTTAAGACACGGTGGAAACAGGAAAGAGACATAAAGGCAGGGGCCCACATCCAGGACGCCCAGGCTCTATACAGGTAGGAAACACACAATCACGCAGAGCATGAAACCGACAGTAGGAACTCTAGTTTACAACTGTCACCTATCAAGCATGTGCATTGAGTCTCATTAAAGTTCTGAGAACACTCTAATTTCTCAGGTGGAGAAACTGAGGCTGAAAGTTCAGAGACATGCCTATGGCCACACTGCCAGCATGAGAAGCAGCTCGGACCAGGCTCGGGGCCACCCCTGTTTCTATGGACCTCTCGCTCTTCTCACGGCCTTCTTTCCGCTTACTCCTGTTTCCCTGCAGGCTTAGTGTGCTGCTAAGGGGAAAAAGTCAATGGAGCTGAAGAAGTTGAGAGAAGGAACGGATACCAGGGATGCTGTTGGCTACAGGAACGGGGTTTCCCTGGGAAAGGCAAGGGGCTTTTCGGTTCTAGATGGAACAAAGGGTCTTTCTTCTGTGTGTGGGCCTGTGTGCTGCGTGAAGGAGACGGAACGAACAACAAGGAATCTGAAGAGCGTAAGATGACTTCTCAACCTTCCGACAAGACAGATGAGAATGTCACAGGGGCGATGGCAGATGAATTCTCCAGACCAGTTTTTCTCAATCTGTCATCTTCTATTCAATTAGTAAATGTAAATAAAACTTATTGTATATATGAGTTCTCTCTCTCTCTCTCTCTCTCTCTCTCTCTCTCTCTCTCTCTCTCT